AGACCATGCAAGTTACCTTGTAATATCAGGTATCTTGTCACAATACATCAGGGTAAACAAAAATACATGATAATATAGATATATACAAAACTAGATATTCTGTTAATCTTAGTATGATCTTAGACAATACTGCATTACAATTATACAAGTGTAAATTGACTAATTAAAAGAGGAAACCTTCCACACCTGTATGAATTCTGGAAGTTTACAGACAGTTTGGTAATCATTGCCTGAATGTACAACGTATCTTCTGGTGGGTGCGAGAAGACTGTTATCTTATACCCTTTAACACAGAGTTAACGCATGTCTGGCTCATGACTGACAAACACATGTGCGTAAAAGAGGAGATTGCTAATCTAAATTAAAGAAAACCTTACTCCAAGAAATAATGACATGGGCATCGCTATTTTCTTGATAGCGTGAGATATTATGTGAAGTCCAATATCAAGTAAATAAATTCAAATTTATGGATGCTTCCTTCCCACATGTGTGTGGTAATGAAGTATTTCATTCACCCATTATTATTCTTTGTAATATAATTGTCAGAGCGCAAACTGCATAAATAAGTTGTCGCTCTTCTAGGGTAAAGGTTTCACATAAATGAAATAGATTTATTAACTGCTATGTTTTAAATAGAATAAAATTCATGGGTTACATTTGTTCCAATGTTATATATTTTTCACCAAATATAATTTTACCTTCTCAGCTATGATTTTCCCTCTTTGGAAAGGTAAGGTTTTGTTATTGAATTAAAAAGTCTTTCCAAATAAAGCTTGGTGCATGATACATGTACAACTTCAACTGTTACGTCACATTTTCAAGGTATTATCATATAAAGACATTACATCATACTAATTCATTAATATATATTTTCATGAGGGATATTGTACATCAATAGGCAGGAATAAATCTCATCTTTCAGCATACCTACACTTATTCTTCGGGGTGAGGTTTCCTTTAATGTTGGAGTTTGTGCCTCACCATGTCTGCCTAGCCAACTTTGTGTCATTCAAGTTTGACTCAATATTTATAGGGCAAATGCAAGGTCTTTATTCATTTGATGTCCTATAAGTATTGTGCAGTTTTGAACAAAAAACACACAAAATCTGTCATTTAATTTCCTATTTTGCCTGATCTAAGCTTCAGTGATCAGACACTAAAATCTTAATAGCCAGGATTTGCCCACTAGATTAGAGCTCAAGTACTTTGAACCATGTGTTCATATTAATTATGGTAGCCAAATTGCAAACTGCTGCATGATGCCATTTTCCAGACTTTGATTTTCCTCTAAATCAAGAGTTGACAAAAACTCTGTTGCCTATCTGAAACTTTCGGCATATTGTCCAACTCTTACCCCAGAACTGATGGAAAAGACTATCAAATATGACTGTGCCGAAGAGTAGACTATGTGCATGCAACACTTCTTCATATATATATATATATATATACATAGGTACAGTCAAACCTGTCTATAGCGACCGCCTGAGAGAAACACAAAAAGTGGTCTTTATAGACAGGTGGTCTTTGTACTTTGTTCACAGGTTCCTTTTAGTACATGTTTCAATGAGAAACCATTTTGAAGGGAAACTAAAAATATGGTCTTTGTAGACAGGTGGTCATTAAAGCAGGTTTGATTGTATATACCGGTACTTATATATACGTGTTTTGTTCTGCGATCCAAGCGATCTTATACATGATTGGTAAAAATTGTTTTTTTGCCGATTATGATCCAATCAGCTACACCTTAAGAAATTGGATGATTAATGGCGTCATATTTCAATTGTCTGTTTTTTAATTAATTGCTAATTCAATATTGTGCCAATTTTTCAAAAAGGAACATGCAAATAAGTGATCATTATTGAAAACACATTTATAAAGACTGAATTGGCTTAATGCCCTTCAAGTAGTGAACGAAACTGAGAGAGAAACCGTGTCGTCCCACGGCCTATTAGTGAATACAAAACAGTTAGGAAAGTACCTTTGACTAGCACCACCGACGTATATTGCATACATACATGTGGATTCCTCTTAAAGATGAAGTTGAGTTCTGGTCATGCGATTGCATTGTGAAAGTAACGATGTGGAACCGACCAGAAAAGGTTGATCATCTAGCATATAAGAATTTGTGTGTATTGCAAGGTTCTGGAATCATCAAAATGATAAGAAATTTGGCCAAGTCTTGGTAAAGTTACAAACACTGTACAAAGAAAGATGTATATGGGACTACACGAACACGTGGCGTAAAAAGCCGCCCCCCCCCCCCCCCCCCCCCCCCCCGATTTTCACGATGTTACATGCATATTTAGAATATGAAGGCATTTCAAGAGGCATGCTTTTCAGGGAACATGTCTTATCTGATGTTCTTCCACACTTGCATAATAAGAATGAGTAATGCTCACAAATTATTTTTTCACCTCTCCCAGAACTCAACCTTCTCTTTAAGCCATTGACTACTGGAACTTGTCTTCTCCATAGGCTTAATACAGGAACCAAACAATTCCCACAGCCAATGGAATTTTCAGGAAACGACACTTAATGGTCCTAAAACCTTATCAGACATTTTCAGCACAAAAAATACAAAAATCAACCTCATCAAGAAACAGCCTTGTTCATACACTGCAGCAAAATATAAAAATAATTTAGGTGAAAATAACTGGAAAGCAGGGTAAAGAGAAGCTCCATGCCACAAAGACCTCTAAACATACTTAATTACCTAATATCTATGCTATAAAATAAAGACAGAAGAAACGCACTATATTTCACAAAGATCCTAAGTAGAACTTAACTTAACTGAAGTTGGACTTAAAATTTATGGAGAGCCATTTGTAGCCTTAAAATGAAATATATTCAAAAGCAGAATTTCAAGTATTTTAGACTTTTCATAAATTCCACATCCAGGACATGAAATTTGAATTAACATTTTATGCCTTTTAAAATAACTTTTACAAAACATTTTTTCAAACATGGTAATGGCTTTCCATAATTGTTAAGTCCAACTTAGAGATAAGTTCAACTTAGGATTTTTGTGAAACACCCCCATGTGTGAGCATGGCTCACCGTCGGCAGTATATCACCAAGGATATGATGATGTAATGATGCCAGGTATGACAAAAGTGACCTTTAGACTTCCTATATCTACAGGAAACAGAGTTATAAATGGAAGACAGTGTACTGAAATGGTTCAACACACAGGTCCCCTTTCAGCTGTTACAATCCTGTATAGACACTATCATGTATGTTCAATCTCATGTAAGACCAACAGAAACTTACATGTACGTGACATGTTCATGAATTTCTGAGAGCGGTTCTTTGTTGTGAAGTTTCATATGCTGTGATTTTATTAACTCATATCCTGCCATGAGACTGCTAGCGCGCTATTGTTATAGTGCTCTGTGCACGCGAGCGCTATAGATTGACTGCTACATTCATGCTAGCGAGCCACCGCTTGTCTGCTTTGTGCACGCAAGGGCGCATATGTAATAACAGTTATTGTTCATGCCCATTTCACCGTGCTGAGTGCTTTTGCAGCGCTATTCAAAGTACCATCGCGTGCATCAGATTATCGGCTTTGGATTACGCGTCTTTGTATACAACAGTCAGATTGGATTTTCTCGAGTAATTCAGTGATATATTTTTTGTAAAGATTTAAATAACATGCACTTGAACCAACCCTAAAATTAATTTGGCACACAGGAGATTTGTGGCTGGCACAATAGGAATTAGCACTGTGGCATTGGGTGCATTGTATGGGTGGCAGCTTAAGAGTTAAACCACAACTGATACAACACTGAATTTTTTCCAATTCGTGAAAAGCCTCATGCCATAGGAATAGCTCTCATTTACAAGTTGCAAAGTCTTATGTCATGGCGGTTTCTGATTTCATGAACGATGGCTTTACAGTCATGCTAGTTGGAAGTTTATACAACATAGAGGATAATAACTATGCAGGATTGTAATGCATTAATTATAGTATGCTAATAAGATCATGTTTTGATCTTAAAGAAGTCCAGCTGATGTAAATTATTAAAATAATAATAATACCATACATTAATGAACATAATATCGTCCCTATTTTCACAAAGTGACGGTAGTGAGGAAAATCGTAACGCAAACTGAATGCAATTTTGTTTCACTACCGTCACTTCGTGAAAACAGTGACGATATGTTGACACTGGGTGAATTTTTCTCTCAAACTGAATTAGAAATCTTTCCTTTTAAACATTTGAAATATATCACACAATACTGGTACACCAATGACCCTTAACATTGCTCGTGGTTATATCTTGCATAGTAAACCTTTTATATAAAGAAAACATTACTGTATGTAATCTGTATAAATACATCTCAACATAACGTGTGAGTTGTCTTTCATGCCTGAGAAAGCTATATCTTGGATAGGTGGAAAACAATCCTTAAGTACCAAGACGGGGAAGTCCAAAGCATTTGGTAAATTGCTGTCCTGTAATGTCACAATATATTCCATATATACTTCTGAACATAATTATATTGACATCACTTACATCACATGTGTCTTTTCAACTCAAATTTGATCTGATAAAAACTCTAGTAGAGCTATAAACTTAAAGGTAATACAAAGTTTTGGTATTGGTCATGAATTTGGTTCAAATTAACATATTGGAAGCATATGCGATCCTACAATATTCAATGATCGTTGTCGCAGTTGAAATCGAGTCTAACGTTATGAAATTGTAAATAATACACTCTTTATGTTGTATAGCTCCCTCTCAAGGTCAATATATTAATTAAGCTATAAAACAACATTTCTTGACTAAAATCGACCAATGAGCTATTCCCGTTTGTAAATTATACATCACACCTACATAATCTGAGATTTTCATGGTCGCAGCTACCATTGTACAGCCGTAGTCGCTTTTTGAAATTCATCAAAATTTACCAGGAGCACCGGTAATTTTTTAGATTCAATTTTTCTTGAAAGCAGAAGTGTTTTAGTGGGTAAATTTTCTACTGCTTATAATACATCCACACGGGAATCCAAATATTTCAAAATTGTAAAGCATCACTACCCACCCAATTTCAAAATTTCCCAAAACTTTGTATTACCTTTAATACAATCATGATCAGATATATACTGAAATCTTAGATGTAGTATGTGACGTACAGGACAATAGCTTTCACAGAAGAAGTGTGTAAAGCATACATTAATTCTGTCATACCAAGATGCCAAACATGGAAAATTAAGTACAGATTTTCTTCATCTCATAGACGACACTCATCAGAACTGTGACAAAATACAGACAAATCTGTAACGACTTTGATGCATTCTTCCCAGAACCATACCAAACCTTTAAGGACCATAGTTTCTTCCTTCTACACTTTGACATCGATCCGTAAGCTTCCTCTACTGTGATCTATCTCCAGATATTTTTTTTACTATTCCTAAAATTTCATTGTCTTTTGGTTCATAGCCTTTTGAAAGGACCTTATCCTTGCTTGATCTTTGTTTACCCATCTAGAAGTCATAATTAGCAATAGGTTCTTTCAACAGCCGACAAAGCAGCTTCCATTTTTCAGGATGATTTCTTTTGATTTCCATCTCTACTTCTTGTGGCAGTTTCCAGGTTGATTGGTTAGTCTTTGTATCGAGGAAAAAGATGCGGCCTCTGGTGGCCTCGCCCTCTGTGTCCCGATGCATCATCCAATCGTCTATGAGCTTGGATTCCTCCATGTAGAGACCACAAGAGCACTTCAAACGACCCACATTTTGAAGCTCTATGTCCACTTCCTCGCAAAGCCGTAATATCAGGTCCAGCTGGTCCGATTCCGTCTTCTCAACACGAGAGTAGAGATGGCGGTACTCCGCGTAGATTGGATTCTGAGAGGACGGAAGCGGCATGGGTGGACGTTCATCAATGGAAGGCGTCTTCTCCTCGCTGGAGAGGGGAGGTGCTCGCCCCCCTAGAGGAGGAGCCGCAGCAGGTCCTGGGGAGAACTTGCTAGCACTGATGGCTTTGGTGAGATAGAGTTCTTTGTGTTTGGTACCTGGGAAGGGATTGATGTGGAAGTATTCTATGAGATAGGCCAGAGATGGGAAGACCGCGTCGCTCTGGAGGATGCAAATTTTACCATGCTTCTGCTCTACCTTGATGTGGAAGATGTTCTTACAGTCAACCCTACGCACAAAATATAAAAGAGAGTACAAAAATCATAAAATATATTTCCCCTATACTTCATACTGCTTCAAAGGTCTGTTTGAATAAATTAGTGGAGAGTAGTAGTGACCCAAATTTGTATGTACACCACAGCGTATTCAGGTTATTTGTACTCATTATAGTATAACATTTTTATCCGCACATAAACCAACTGTAACTATGAACTGGCTTAGGCCAACAACAAAAAATCCTTCGGTTGTCCTCGACCGCCCGCTCGTCATTTTCGAGCGGCCTGTATTTAAAAAAAAAAATAATAATAATTTTTTTAATTTTTCTTATTCAATTTTTTTTATTTTTTTTTTAAATTTAATTTTTTTTGGGGAGCAATCTTAAATGCCAAACATACTATTTTATGCATTTACAAGGATCAAAATGCGTTCTGTTGCCAGTTTGGTATTTTTAGTACATAATTCTGTATTTATTAAACTTGCCATTTTTTTATTTTTCTATGTCAAAATGTCGTTCATTCAAATCAGGTTCTGAGCATTCTTTAACTTATTTTAAAATTTAAAGCCCATCTGTACTAGTTTACAGGAGGGATTAGACCACCCTGCAAGGTCACTGGACAGGTGGTTATCTCATCAAATAAGCTCTCAGTTAACATAAGATAAAGAGGATCATGGGGGAACGATGGTCACCAATAAGGCATTGTTTGCTATATAGAGGGCGCAAGTTGCTATAAATAGTACAATGGAGATTTAAAAGGTGCTGTATTTCAAAGCAAAAAAAAATACTTTCTGTGTTAGTCTTGATATACATTGTACATTAAACTAGTCTTTTACCATATTAAAGTGTTTTATAGACTTTGTTTGTTTCAATGCTTGACATCCCAATGATTTTTTGATTATTTTTTTTCTATGGAATTTAAAAAAAAAATTTAATTGGGGAAAAAAAAAAAAATTTAATTGGGGAAAAAAAAAAAAATGGGACACACACAAAATGAAGTTTAAAAAAAAAAAAAAAAAAAAAAAAAAAAAAAATCTGCCCGCCCGCCCCTATTCCAGAAAAGCAATAGAGGACAACCAAAGAACTTTTGTTGGCCTTATGGTTGCAACTTGCAAAACAATGATGGAAATTAGAATCATCACTTTGGTATTAAAAATTTTGTGATAGAACTGAAACATAAGTAACACATACCGTAAGCACTTTAATACAACCTTTGATTTCCAAAGTCAAAATCTCAGTCTGCATTACATTTGACAGTATAGCCTCATCCCTCTAAATAAATAACATACTTCATGATAACAATACCCACTTGTAATCTCCTTATTTGATTTCCTTGTTATTCGCAAGCATATTCTACCTCTCCTTTTTTGATACACTTGTTCTTTGCCTATCCCTGGGTATCGGTTGTCTTTTATCATAGAATACATCGGCTCATATCATTTCTCTTTAATCCCATTATCAAACATTGACAATTTGTAACAGTCACCTTCCCTAGCATGCATTACTCTAAAGAAGATCTAACTAATGGGCCATCAAAATCAATCATATGCCATCGAAAGTAATCACGCCATGGATACAAGTACATGTAGTTTCACAATCAGGAAACCAAAAGCAACCAAACGGATTTCCTTTCACCATTCATAAAAGCTTTTAATGTGAAACTATAATTTAGGAAGCTTTGATCATACACTGAAAATACACTTTTTATGTGAATATCAACACTTTACACCAGGCATATCAAAATTGATAACTCACTATATCGCCTGTTGGAAGCCAAAAAGACATTAACGCATATACTTAACACAGAGTTAACATCCTTGTGGCTCTGTACGGATGACATGTACGTATGTACATACTATTGCTCTTTGTTTGTCCTTCTAGGTATTTCCAAGATTTAAAATATAAATTGACTACCGGTACTCAAGAAATAAAATCATATATCTTTCACTATCTTTCTTTCATCTACCGGTACTCTGAACTCTGACATAGGTTAAATAGGTGGGAAATAAAAAATGAGTACCGGTAAATGATTGTGAGTAAGACACTTTGAATTTTTGAAACCAACAAAATACCTTTAACATCACTATTAAATCTTACTGGATATCACAAATACTTAAAAGCAGTGCATATACAGAGTAGACCTATGAAACTTTACAAGAAATATGGGCACAATTTATTGGTCTATGGGAGAAACTATTTCTAACCCCATCCCTTATTTCAAATATTTTTCAACTTAGGTTTCCAGGACAATTCTTGGTTCTTGAGATATCAACAAAGCAGGACGGCCAGATGGACAACCAGGAAACATAATGCCTTTGGCACCACCTTTGGCACCTGGGTGGAGGCATGAAGAAAGAAATGCTGTAGAGGATATTTTCTTTCTTTCTATCTTGGTCATATAAGACCAATATATATGAATGAAATATAAAACATATTGCAGTACTTTATGTTGAAGTATAATATGATTAATCAGCCTTAAACAAAACAATTGTTTGTGGACTTACACAATAGAAACAACAAGGGTATCTGGCTGCGAATTACTCTTCCTCAGTAAGAAAGCTCCTCTTTTATCCAAGTAGTACTTGAATATTCTATCCTCCTAAAGGAAATAAAAACAACAGCTCATCAGTAAGGACAAATAGCATTAATAAATAAATACTGATGTGGTCAAGGTTCCTCTTATTGGGAATCTTGACCACATTTTGAATAATCTCATAATTGTATACATACTATAGGTGTGTCAAAAAACGGGTTACATAAATGTGACACTGTTATGTGATCATAATCTGTTATAATCCTACACTACAGAGACAGAATCTTAGCCAACTACGTGACTATGTGTAGTGTAAACACAACATGCAGGGCACAGGAAAACCTTTGCACAGGAAATGGGTCTACTCTCACAGAGCAATTAAAATGAGTAATTTGATCATGAACTGTGCTTCTGGTTTACAGGTATAGTATATATGGCAAAAATTCTTTGTCTTCATTTTTGTGGTCTTTACTGTTAACTGGTAATATTCATGTTATACTTTCTCCAGAGATCTTAATTTTTGTTTTTGTTGTTTACAATAAAGGATTGTATTTAGAATATTCATTTACTGTCATTCTTCCTTAGCGCTTAGAGATTTTGGTGGTAAGCACTTTATAAGCACAGTTTTTATTTTTATTAACTGATGTAACCAATTTAGTGTAACTATTCCATTCTCATAGCATATTGTTTTTTCTTGCCTTAATATTTAATTCTTAAAGTCACTCATTAGTCCACGAATATGTTTGCTCAGTTGCTACTTATTAAGCGCAAGCGCTTTATATTAAAGCCTAACATTATTATTGTTATTATGTCTTAACAATGGAGAACCTGAATGTAGTTTACAACAGTCTGAAAAATCACCCGTCTTTCACCATCTTAAAAAAATAAACCTTGGCATCAGATAAATGTGATATCATTCTTTTTTAAAAACAATTATGCTTTGAAAACAATTAATTTTTTTTTAAAGGAAACATAACAACCAAAGAACATTAGGAGGAAATGACATTGCCTTCAAGAGCCATTCCCAAGTGTTAAAATTGCCTTCTAATGCACACATTGATTGTGGACTTTTTACATTTAATATGAAAGTATAGATCCTTGTTTTACAAATCAATAATGCCAAGTTTGTTTTTATTTTTATTTTTGTTATTATGTACAGTGATTTATTGAATAAAGAACAGATTTATATTTTTTGTGTTTATTATAAGTTTTAGTTGGTAATTTTAAGTCGGACAATGGTGCGCTTAGAAACACCCTGTATTAAGCGCCTAATAAATGTTATGTATTATTATCATTATTAAGTTTGACCTCCATATTAACTACTAAGCCCATTAAAATAAATTTAGTATTACAACGATTCAGTTGAAATTCACATTTCAATGTTTTCAATGTATGCTTCAACGCATACTCTAGAGAGAAAGGGAAATTCATGTTTAAAGATAAAGACCAGTTATGGTTATGCGATTGCATTGTGAAAGAAACATTGTGGAATCGATCAGAAAAGGTTGATCATCTAGCATATAAGTATTGGTGTGTCCTGCAAGGTTCTGGAATCATCAAAATGAAAAGAAATTTGGCCCAGTCTTCGTAAAGTTACAAGCACTGTACACATAAAGATGTATATGGGACTACGCACACGTGCGCGACACATGCGTTTATCTCTCACATCCCAATAGATAAACTAATTTACCAAATATATCAATTAGTAGGCGGTTTCCCGGCAATTTGTTATCATCATATATTAGTCAAAACATATTCTTTCACATGATTGATAATAAGTGCTTCCATTTCAATTTTTGAAATTGGGGCATTTCCAATACTGGTCTTTAAATACCTTTAAGTGATCAACAAATGTTCACAATATCACAGTAGAATGATCGATTACCCAATCATGAGATTTGCATAAAAGTTGTTGTCTCATCTTTTAAACCATTCATACTTTCTCACAAACTTTCTGCTTTCCTCCAGAGCTTTCTAAGCGATCCTTCTTCTCATAAATTTATTATTGGACTTCACTTTAAATGTTATCAACCATCAGAAAAAATAGTCTACCGTATACATTCAAAATATAAGCTTCAAATATTACTTCTGGCAAATCAAAAATGTGTTGCAAGTTTAGATACATTCTCAATTTAACATAACATTTTTATTAAAGGAGACTTTTGAGTAAACTAGTCAATGCACCCATACACACTCGCACAAAATGGGCATGCAAGGTACCCAAGTCTTAAATTATAGCTGTGCACATATCATTTATAGTTGACTGGTACATTTTAATTTCTCCTTCAAGAACTGTTAAGCAAAGAATAGAGGCATGCATGACTTGGTGAATTTTTACACTGGGTCATTTTGTCTCTAATCTGTGCCATGCTGTGCGTGAGATAGCTGATATGATCCAGGTTTATAAAATACTTCATGGTATTGACAGACTCAGTCCAGAACATTTTTCAAGAGACCAGAGTACCAATTCACTCGTGGACATCTGCTTACCGGTAGACTTTTCAATACTCGCCACAAGCTAAATGTCAGAGGCTGTTTCTTCAGTAAACTTGTTATTAATTTATGGAATAAACTGCCAAAATCTCTAGTCACTGCACATAACATAGATATTTTTAAGACTGGTTTAGATAAAAGCTGGCTTGCCAAATAATTTTATGTAACTTGACATCCATGCTTTTTGCACTCCGTTTAAGTCGCAAACTGTCAATTGAACTTATATTTTGGAATACGACCGGGAGATCTACAGGATTACACCTCACTCCCATATATCAGATGATGATGATGAAAATTAAATTAAAGTCAGCCACAACGTGATGAATGCCTCCGATCTTCCATAGCTTGATTGATGGAGCATAGACGCCCACCCCTTCCCCCTTCTCTGCCCCCCAACTATCATTCATTTGAATTTGGTTTACCCTTCATGACGAATACCAAGAACAATCGATGAAAACATTAAGTCCCCTTCTCACCTCAGTGTTTGTAAGTCTTCCATGGAAGAAAGGGAGGGCCTCAGCATATTCAAAGATGGATGGTCTCGCAGACATCTGCGGTACTCCTGGCCCACCCCTCTGCATATTCTGAATTCGACCACTCTTTACGTCGCACCAGATCTTCTTGCATCTGTGTCTCTCTTCTCTACACTTGAATTAAGAAACAAATCCATAACAAAAGGTAAATAATTCCAAGTCCACCTATAAAGATTAAATCATAATTTGAGATCCTTTCTTTACATTTCGGATATCCCCTGGAAGGGCTCAATGAACACAAACTCTATTATTTCAATCCAGACATCATGCATCCCTAGATCCCTGTCAAAAATGTTGGTTTGGAGATAATGATAAATGATAAATTGGAACATTTTCAGTCCTTGAAAGTTGAACTTATGTTTGAAAACAAAGTGTGTAGCACATTTGTTGCCTCGTCGATCCTCTCTGTCTACCTTACTGGGGGTAAATCTACACAGAAACTGTAACTGTTATTCAAGGTAAAGACCATTATTGGAAACGCCCCAATTTCAAAAAATGAAATGGAAGCTCTTATTACCAATCATGTGAAAGAGTATGTTTTGACTAATACATGATGATAACAAATTTGCCGGGAAACCGCCTACTAATTGATATATTTGGTAAATTAGTTTATCTATTGGTGTGTGAGAGATAAACGCACGTGACGCGCACGTGTGCGTAGTTCCCTATACATCTTTCTGTGTATAGTGCTTGTAACTTTACAAAGACTTGGCCTAATTTCTTATCATTTTGATGATTCCAGAACCTTGCAGTACACACCAATACTTATATGCTAGATGATCAACATTTTCTGATCGATTCCACAATGTTTTTTTCACAATGCAATCGCATGACCATAACTGGTTTTATCTTTAATCGATGTAGACTAATCTTTGCTACATATAAACAGTCATTTAACAATTATGCAACAACAGCCTTACATGTAGGATGTACCAATGCTCTTGAATCTCCTTAGGAATGAGTAGACACACTCGACAGACAGTAGTAAACACAGCTTCATACTTCCTGAATTCAGGCACACAATTCCACAATAAGACTTAGATTAGAGCCTTTGGCAGAGTGCACCGAGACTGCACTGTGGAATTAGAAAGCATACTGCAGTGTACGCACAATCACACACAAAAAATACATGACTTCGCCTCGAAAATAAAATGTCAGAAGTAGACACAAAAATAAACAAGAATTAAAATACTGTACCTCGACGCCGAATGGGAAACGGCATTCAAGTTTTGGGCTGATAGACTAGATTTAGAGGAAAGTGAACAGTTCCAAAGGAAACGGGAAACTACGACAGAGCATTCACACCAAGTGGCATGCGCACTACCACACTCGCAGCTCAAGTAAATAATGCATGTAGTGCCCGTCCGCCCTGGCCTGGTGTACCGTCATGCATGAATACCGCTGCTGTAAGACATACGGACGACACGATCCGTGTGAGACGCAACAGGGAAATTCCCGTAACTAATCCCAGTGGCGAATATAGTAGGCTGGCAAGTGAAGGTCGTGGGCCCATGCAACAAATACTACCACCTCGTAAATTATTCATGAATCAATATTGGTATCAGGAATAATAGTATGATGGTCTTGAGTGTCCATGAAGCCTTCTATTTTGCCTACGGATTTAACAAAAAATATTTGTCAAGTAGCACTGACGAATAAGTGTCCGACCATAATTATAAGTCACAATTTAGAAGATTAAATATATTCCTTGAAAACTTCTTCAATTTGCTGTTTAAAATCAACCAGAGGCGAGGCTCCGAGACGGGGGGTAGGGGATGTAGTGCCATGCCATGCCACATTTATATCACATTCTTACTTTCATTCAAATTTTAATATTCTCTTTAGATTAACCTTCAGGGGAGGCAACCGGTTGATAGCCCCACTTCAACAAACCTGCACGCCTTCAAAAATTGTTTCAAAATTCTAGTTTCATTCGAAACTCACTGGAGACTATAATTTGATATTGAGGGCTTAGTAAGTCTTAAATTTAGTTAATCTTTTAAAACTACATTCACTTGTTTTATCGTGTTTAGTTGTTTTAAGTTGCTTTTTTTGGTACGATATCATTCTGACATGAAGCTATAAAGCCGTGCCGGTGTCATAGGCGATTTGTTCACGGTCTTTGTCGCTTCATGTCGGTAGAGCAGCGGTCTCGATCACAGTGACCCGGGTTCGAAACCAAGGCGATACACTAAAGCCCTTTGGTAAGGCATTAATCCTCATTACCAGGTCCCTCATTACCAGGTCCCTAAAGCCGTCGGCCGTCTGGTTGCTTACTTACAAGCATGTATGCTTTCTTAGCAGTCAGCCCGGCAGTCAGGTATTAAAAACAAAAACACCACCATTCATTCATAACTCTACGTCAAAAAAGCAAATGACGCATTGTACGTAATTAAATCCCACTGCACACGCGCCATGTGATAGTGACGTTGTACACAAATGATCACAGGGTGGATCACTCGAGTCCAAATCTATAAGGTTGAACAGCGGATTAGCTGTTGTAAGACAAACAAGACAGGAAAGTTTTCTGTCTTTTGTCTAATCGACTGCGTAATTATGTGTTCCGAATTTGTGCGATTGGTGTTGAATGTATTATGTTTGGACTGTTTTATTCGTGTGTACGATTAGCATTCGTAACTCCTTGTTAAATCACTAGGGCTCTACGAACCAAACACGACAAACGACACATCTACACGTAGGCGCGACATGCTAGACGACAAACGACAACATTACGCGTAGGTGCGACTTGCTAGACGACAAAATAATGACAAAACAACACGTAGGCGCGACATGCTAGATGAAAAACGAAAAAAATCAGGTTCACACCATGCACGATATTCGCTTAAAGGTCGAGCGCTAAAAGGTCGTGCAGTTGTGGTGTCGTGTCGTTTTGTCGTGTGTCGTGTTTAGGGTTCCAAAATACAGATTAATAGTAAAACGGAAACCTAAACTTTTTCATATACATGACCTAACAATCTAAACTGTTAAAATATCTTAGGCCTGCTTTGTGTATCAATTACTTTGACGGTACGTAGGCCTATGTCGATACTAAGGAGCAAAAACTGCTTATGGATTAAGGATAATCCCTTTCTGCTAAATTCCACTTTATTGTCTCGAGCTATATATAGGCATATTGTAAGCTTTAAGAAATACTGCTTAATGATGGCTCTACAATAAAAGATCAAAATGAATCGAAAAAAGTATAAGAATCCTTCAGACAGAACTTGAGTGTGTCAAAGGATTTTTAATCGCGCACCAGCGTTTAATTGTTATTAGTAAAGCTTAAATTATTAAATTATTAAGCTTTAAAAGCTTATTAAAAAAAATCCACTAATATGATAGAATTGTAAGCTATCATTTTTCCACTAATAGGATTAAAGGTCTGCCTAACTCCAACAGGAATAAACAAATACATTTGACTGCCATTCAAAATGTAAAAAAGCTAAGCAGGCCTTTTTCTTCAAGCACTTGCTAATTAGTCCTCTCAGTTAGAAATTGTCGTTATTAATGCATACAAAGAAGTACGTATTTATACAGTACAGACATTTGAAAAAGTTGATACGAGAGCACCATTTAAAGATTTAGTGGAGTTCTGTTCATGTGGAATCGATCAGAAATAGTTGATCATATACCATATTCATAAGCATTGGTGAGTACTGCAATTAAGGTTCTGGAATCATCAAATGTCAGATAAGAAAGTTGGCCCAGTCTCGGTAAAAGTAACAAGCACAGTACACAGAAAGATGGGACTACACAAGCATGTGGCATAAAAATGAGGCCCACATTTATAAGTTTTTACATGTCGTATTTAGAATATGAAGGCATTTGAAAGGCCAGGCTTTTCAAGGAACATTTTTCCTCTGATGTTCTTCTACACTTGCATAATAACAATGAAAACGCTCACAAATTGTTTTACACCTCTCCCCTGAACTCAACCTTCACTTATAAGTGGAGGAAAAGATACGTTTAATCAGCAACACATTCCATAAATATTGATATTTTTTTGTCGAAGTTAAAGTTCCTTTCCAGTCGGAAGGAAATCATTAGAAAGGCCAATGCAAGTCAATAATCATCTTTTGAAGATACAGCTTTTTTAAATAACATGATATTCAAACGTTAGGATATGGTAGCTCGTTCAATGTGGACATTCTTGTTTTAAAGACTTAAAAAAGGTCAGGAACTTTGAACGCAGAAGTTATACTTTGTGACCTTATAACCTGCACATAATATCCAAATTATCTTGATTGTGTAAGGCCATTACGATTTAGTAGATTTTTTTGTATTTTGTTATCAGAGTTGAATAACGTATTACTTAATTCAAACAAAATATGAAAAAACATATAACGTCAACAAACCCTATATAGTTTGTCATTATATGAGAGATTTTCTTTTGTTATGTTTTCTTTTTCTTTTCTCTGGATATGCCATCAGAATCGTATGAATTACCCAAACGGGATTGGTGGATTTAACTTGCAGTTGATGTCTTACTGAAATTTTTTACTTATATGTTGCTATTTTACTCATATTTCACGTAAATGCTATTAATGTCAGCTCATCTAGTCGTTGTTTGACACGTTAATGATGGTAAGGGAACAAAGGGTGATCTCCAAACTATTTTCACCCCTCCCCACCGGCCCAAAAATCCTAGATCCACCTGTGTACATGGTTGTTATGGGAAATAAGCATTTATACAACATAAATTGCTCATAAACCAAAGATTAACATTTCAATGATGGTAAGGGGACAAAGGGACTATCACAGAAACGAACAATGATTTTAATCAACAAATTCCATTGGCAGATCGTGGGGAAATCATTTGAAATTGGAATAGGCTTTTTGTGATTTTCTCTTCCCAAACTTGATAAAATCTTGCTTTTAAACCAAAGATTTATTACCTTCACAATTTCATGGTGTTTTGCCTACCTCCCCAATTGAAGGCGTTTACACGTACTATGTGCGCGTGTGCGTGTGTATGTGTTATATTCTCTCGAAAGGATTGAGTCTGATTGGTGGCCATGCGACATCACAAACTCAAAGCTCAATCAGGCTGTTAATAGAACCAGAATAAAATTATCCTTGTAGAGACCCCCCCCCCCCCTTTTTTTTTTTTTTTTGGTGCCCGTCTCCAACTTTAACATACCCCCGCCGGCGAATTTTTTTTCCGTACTCGAGAGAGCAAAAATCCCATGTGCGCATGCGCGTGGACTTATGATTTCTCTGCTACTTCCCATACGAAATGTATGTATTCGCATGTACTGTGCACGATTCGCGTTCTACGAGTGAACGATGGCATAGTAGTCTTCAAACACAGACTCTGATTTGCCAGTTTGACAAATCAATATGCGTATGTGTCGCGATGTGCTTATTCAAGTCTGTGTAGTTGTATGATTCAGACCCAGTAGTGCATATGGAAATACATTGCAACTTGTATAGAATGGTATAGTAGTCTGCAAGCACAGACGCTAATCTGACAGTTTGACAACATACTAGTAGTGTGCTGAGAAGTACTTTATTCAAGTCGCCAACTTGTATAGAATGGTATAGTAGTCTGCAAGCACAGACGCTAATCTGACAGTTTGACAACATACTAGTAGTGTGCTGAGAAGTACTTTATTCAAGTCTGCGTAGATGTATGATTCAGACCCTACTGGTGCGTGCGTTAGAAATGCATCTCAATGTGTAGAGTGTAGTATAGTAGTCTGCAAGGACATAATAATATATTGTGTATTGATGAGTAGTGATTTTATGCAAGTTTGTGTAGTTTAATGATTCCAGACCCCATGGTAGGCCTATGTATTGTGCCACTGCTCTCTCATACTCTTTCTCTCTCTCTCTCTCTCTCTCTCCATATCTCTCTCTCTTTCTCTCTCTCTCTCTCTCTAGCCCTCCCTCCAGTATGCTCGCACTTCTGTAAGCACTAAAATGTCTGAATCATACAACTACTCAGACTTGAATACTAGTACTATTGCTACGCACGATATATGCGTAATTGTTTTGTCAAA